GCATCTATCTATGAGAAAATCAAATCGACGAAATCTGAAGAGAATTCATATGTGTTTGTAAGCTACTCGTAAACACGCTTATATGGTTTCTCGAAGTAAACCGAAAATTTCAATCGAAATCGTGCACCGTTCAAAATTCATGACGAGCCAAACACTTAACTATGAATGAAAATTTCCTGATAAATTTCGATATATCTCTTGAATTTGAACACTGCCATTAAAGCGTGATGGATCTTTATCGATCAAACTTGCAGAGGTGACGACATATGTGAGGTGAAGAGTGAAGAAACTGGCGAAGTAGCATTTGTTGATTGTCAAATTGGTGGTATGAACGAGACGACAATGGCGGATCAAGATGAGTTATTGACGAATATGACCGCTGAAAATGTTACGATTCATTGTTCGAAGACTGAATTCGGTTGTTGTCCAGATTGGGCGACGCCATCTGAAGGAGCCGACAATGCGGGATGCCCAACATTTGTTCTAGGTATGATAGAATTCTCATATGTTCCATACGCTGATCACTGATTTTTTTGTAGTAAACAATATTAATTTAAAAATGCAAAGTGTTCATTTCAAGAGGCTCATAACGTGACAGTTAACGGTTTTCTGTTTGAAGTAAAAGATCCTTGATTGGGTTCAATTTCCAGAAATTTGATATAGATTCCCATGGAATTTTAAGAGCTATAAATGCGTAAATAATTATTGAAATACTCATAGTCCTTCCTCATTTATGTGACCAATAGAATCTATTATCATATATCGATGATTGGTTATGAAATAAGTTCAACGGAATCATTACAGTTGAAATAATTGTTAAATTCAGGCTCATGCAATGATACGGCGTATGGTTGTTGTCCAGATGAGGTCACAATGGCCAGAGGTCCGAACTACGAGGGATGTGGTGAACCATCATGTGCAGCCTCGTTGTATGGATGTTGTAAAGATCGTAAAACAATCGCATTCGGTCCTCATTACGCAGGTTCGTCTAATCGCATTCCAATTAGCTTATCAAGCCACCATCTGATCGTTATGATGTATCCCCATTTTCATTTATTTCACAGGACAAGACCTTTAAAATAATGATTTAATGAACCAATGATATTGAAGTATTCTCAAATATTGTTAATTGCTCTGTGAAATAATCGCCATGCCGATCAGTTTTTGTCAACGTGATTTGTGAGTTTTGCTTAAGGTTGCGAGCGATCGTCGTTCCCATGTGAGTTGTCCTCGTTCGGATGTTGCCCAGATGGCGAGACTGCAGCATTGGGCGAGAACGGTACCGGATGTGGTTCAGACTGTCTCGTTTCCAAACATGGGTGCTGTCCGGATGGTGTGACTCCATCGAAGGGTAGCAGCAACGAAGGTATATTTTCTCATGCAATACAATCTTGCCCGTCCCGGTTTAGAGATAAATGACATTATAAAGTTATTCTTCGTCTACTTTTTAGGATGTGGTTGTAAATACGCCCAATTCGGTTGTTGCCCAGATGGCAAGAGTTCAGCGAAGGGACCGGGCTTTTACGGTTGTCCAGAAACATGCGCTCAAAGTCAGTATGGATGTTGTCCGGATGGTAAAACGGCCTCAAGAGGACC